AAAAAGCATCCAGCTCTGTCTCTCATGCCCTGATGACAATGATTTTCATGTTCGAGACCACTCTGCTATGTCCTAGTTGCCTGTGCTCTAGAAATGAATGAAACCCAGCTCCATGCAAAGTGGCATGTGATGGTTGAGTAACTGGTCTGACCTTGGGTAGGACAGTAGGAGCTAGGATGGGGGCTTTTAACACAGTACTGTGGGCAGCCCTGCAAACTGAAGCCACCCATAGGTGTCTTTGGGAAGGTTTTGGAGTAATTGGGCTCTCAATGTTGCTTCCCTCAATTTCCTTTTCTATTTCATAAACTCTAGAACTCTTTAGCAGTTTCAGCCATCTCTTTTTGTCTTCGAGTTTTGATATTTTTCCACAAAGAAAACCTTATACCTTAAGTAAGATGAAGTTCCCAGGAGCAAGGAGCCCAAGAATTGAAAGCCTATGAGAATACTGACAGGCAGAGATTACAAGAGCCTGAAGATGCTAGCTTTAAACACTTAGGTTAGGGCTAGTGGTCCTGGGACAGCACTTAGCCCTTACTGATTAGCTGGTACACAAAAAGCTCAGAAAGACACACAGTGGCTCAAAGACATCCCCCCCCCAAAGGAAACCTTGTAAGTTGTACCTAAGAAGGTTAACATTCAAAAGGCATTTCTCTAGCAGTAGGAATCTAGTCTTCTGCGTAGTAATAAACAATTTGCCTTGTTGCTGAAGGATTTGTGTTTTAACTTTTGGTTTAAAATTCACACTCAGTTTTAATTCATCAATTCTGCTATCACTTGTTCAGGAGCTTGCAAAAGAATATGCTTCTGTACTGTCATCGTTCTAAATGTCAATTATCCTATAAATTTTGAAATAAATCTCTTCAGCCAAGTTTGAATCATACAGGAGGTTAAAATATATCCTTTGACCCTCAAAGCAATAATGTGAGATTTCAGGAGGGAAATCCAATTACTGTATGCAATGAAGAACTAGTGACTCTTTTGAAAAAAAAATGATTCAAAAAATTTAGGATATGATTGAAAAATAAAAAAGAAAGCTTTTTCAAGTTTTAAATTGCCAAGCATCCAGCTGGAGTATTGGTTTTGTGCAAGCTCCTGATTTTGCTGATAACAGATTTGTACTGGACATATTTGGAGAGAGAGCTTGCATATTCTCATTCATGTAAAATCCCAGAAGGATGAAACAGGTACCTTTATTGGTCATTTTATCATTCCCTATATGTTGTGTTTAAAATGAAATATAATGAAAGCAAAATATGAAAGCAAATGCTAGCCTTTGCATTAAGCCAACACACCTGAGGAAAGTGTGAATACAGAGAAATGTAAAGTTGAAGGTTTTCACAAAATCATTCATTCCTACTGCATATATTGGAAATATTTAGGATTGCCTGTTAAGCTTTTAAATACACAGTTTCTTAGTGGGAGAGAAACAGTGGGACATGTTTGTATTTTGATAATAACCTTTTCTCTTTTTCAAATGATTCTATTTTCAATCAATCCAAAAAGAGTATCCTTATTGGCCACTAGAGTTCACGGGAAAGCAAACAGCCCTGCTATTCCTGTTTCATCAGTAAGAGAGTTGGGGTGATGTCATGGATGTGCACATCACTGTCCAAGACTGTTACTAGCCAAAGGGTTTTACTATTTTTTGACACTTATTGGGCTGCTACTCTGGATGCCTCAAATGGCCGCCTACATTACCTCTAAAGGATATGGTATAAAGTGAATCTAATACACTCTACCAATCTCCGAGTCGCTTCAGAAGAAACCATCAGAGACTCTCGGAATGACATCTTCAAACAGGATACCCTCAGGCTTGATTTCTGAGCTGAGGGCAGATCCACAACTTCAGACTTTGAAACTGTTTCTGGAGAAGCAGCCTGAGGATGGTGAGGAAGCATGTGTGGGCGTGTGGTGTGGAATGTGAATGGGGCAGAGCAGGAAGGCCAGGTATGTTTGTTGCAGGCTCCAATAAAGAGCCTTTTTTTTTTTTTTTTTTATAAGGATGGGCTGGAAGGCAGCTATTGTCTCTTCACATTGAGATCCCATATCATAGCTGAGGTCGAAGACTTTCTAAATATCCACAGTGATGAAGCCTGACCACATCCCAGAGGCCAAGGGAGAGGCAACACAACACTTGCCATCCTTATATGTGTACCCTTTAAGCCTCCCCCTTCTCCAGCTTGGCTAAAAATGAGATACAGTAAATTAAAAGGAAGCTGAAAGAAATGCCCATTTTATTTGGAAAATTAAGTGTTATTGATGGTTTGTGATGGGGAACTAGAGGCATATGAAAGAAAGATCTCAAAGCTAGCTTCAAGGCTGGTGGTTTTCTCTTAATCCTAGTGTCAGCTGTCTACTAATCCCTGCTCAAGGGCTTTCAACACAGGCATTAATGTGTAGGGTGTCATGGCTATTGGTATAGCACAATGTATTCCCTAAACTTCCTTGGCATTCTTGACCAGCATCTTTCTATTTTTCAAAGCTATGAATGAACATGCGTGCACACATGTGTGAGTTCTGGAGAACTTGCCAGAACACTTCTTTCTAAGGATGGACTGACTGTGTGATTCAACCTCTAGGGAAGTGGCAGGCTGCCTTGGCCAGTTCTTTACCCTATATCCTTTTCCCCTGACAACCCCCACTTCTCACATAGCGTTGGCCCTAATACGTAAGGGTCAGGGGCTCACGTTCTGGCACAATCACACAAAATGTTCATCCTTGGAGGTTTATATGGTTTTCTTTACTAAGCATGTTTAAATTTTAGTATGAAAAAGACAATCCCTCTGAAATGGTCTTAAATCAAACAGGAAACAACTAAAACCACTTAGGAGCTCACATTTGGGGGCAGGTGTTTACTGTGGGAAAATGAGAAAATGGTGTCATAAACGTGAAAGTAATGTAGTCCCAAGCTAACTGGGTTCGACTGCTTGATTTGACCACTCTATAGCAGTCATAACTTATGCTCAAGAAGACACACTTCCCTGGGACAGAATCCTAGCTTTCTATAAAGGGCCCACAAGTACTGTCTCCCATGAGCCAACCGCCCAATTTCAATTGCGATGTTGGAGTAGCCTCCTTTCTTCATTTCATTTATGGTCTCACCTGGACACTGGGGTTCATAATTTCCTGTTCAAGAATTCCTCTCCACCACATAGTTTACACAAAGTGCCTACGTCCATGTAGTTAACCTATCCCTGCAGTTATCTATGAGGACACTGACAGAAGAAGAAATAGAAGGTTTAAATTTTGAGAGATTTATATCAGTATTTTAAAAAATAAAAATCACTTTATTATAAAGAACTTGTGATGGAAAGAATTCAGGTAAAAGGGAGATGAGTTATAAAAAAAAAAGAGAATATGAAGTTATTTAGTTTTCTACTTTTTCTAGTTTTAGCTCTGTCATGGATTTCTTTTTTGTTTGTTTCGTAGTGAATACGTGCATAAAAATGCAACTGATAATAGAAATATAATCTCCAAAGTGAAGCTTCATGGCTACTCAACTATAAAAAAGTTCATTAAGATGAATAGACGTTGAATCTGGGCAAGTGCCTCTTTAAATAGCTAAGTTAATATAGATGTGGTAGGTTTTTTCATAACTCAGATTTTTAGCAACAATTTTTTTTCATCCTAATTTTTGGATAATGGAGATTTTCATGCTGCATAGAATGTACAGTTTCCTTCCAGGCTTCCATCATTAACAAATTAATACCCCAAACTTTCTCTGCTCTCTGCATTGCAGCGGAGACTAACGCGGTGCTGGGTAGCATTAACTAATATGTCATGATATCAGAACAAGAGATGAATTAAGGTTAGACCAAGGCCTAGGCTGGGCCAGCTGTGAGCATATTAGCAGTGACATAGCGATGCATTACATACATAGCCCATGTGCCAACATACTCTCGGGTCTTTTCATAGATACTACACAGGCTCATCAACACATTAGATGTCAAATGGAATAAACACTTTCTGTCTCCACTGAAAATGTATGCATTTACTCCACAAATAATTACAATGCATTAACCATGTGCATACATTGTTCTATTGCTAAGAATTCACCAGTAAATAAAACATTTCCAGCAGCCCCCACATCCCTCACACACCTATCATTATAACCATCCACTTTTAGTATTACTCTTAAGTACTAGTTCCTAGTCCTTTAGGAGGAATTTTATCATGTTCTTGAGACTTCACATTTCCATATAGATTGGGTGATGGTGGTGAAGTTTTGAAACTGGGCTCCAGAGTATCTATTGGCATACCCTTCACTGTGGGATAAGAGAAAACCAGGGTGCTGATTTCTCCTGGTTGAGATAAAAGGAAAGAAGATTTGGTAGTAGCAAGCAGCTTGGAAACTAAGCCATGGGGGGGGGGGGGGGGACAGCACCTTCATGGAGTAAGTTCTCTAAAAATTTCCAATATATTAACATATAGGTATGTTCCTAGAAAGAACCATTTTGGGAAATGATGCTGTAGAAAGAGCTGAAGCTTTCACAGCACATGTGGTTGCATTCTCCACAAATGAGAAGTTTACACATCACCATGTACAATGATCTTGCTGGATTGAGAGTTCATACAGCTCTGTCTATTGCAAATGGTTTACATGTTCCCTCTCCCTGAAAGGCTCTTGTGTTGGAAGCATGGTCCTTCAAATGGCAGGATTAGGAGTTGGTGTGGAACTATTAAGGGATGGAGCCTCCGAGAAGTCTTTGGGGGAAGCTGTAGTACCTCTCTGGCTTTCTGTTTAGGTTACAACCTCTTTCATACTTGCCCCCTGGTTGGAGCCATCTCTTCTGTTAGGATGTTAATAGCGGCAAGTGATACAGGTACTATGTTTTTGACCTCCAGAAGTGTGTGCTTCTTCATAAGCAATCACCTTAGATATTTTGTTATCACAACAACAACAACAAAATTGATGAATACAGTGCTGGCATCAAGACTCTTAACGTCAAGGTGAACACAGGCTATTTGAGGCCAGAAGGCTGTAGCTAGCCTACTCTTACCATGACTGAGATGTGGAGGATCCTCAGTTCCTCTTCTGCCGACTCATGTTGGGGTTCTTCAGTTGGGTCTTGCCCAGGGAGACTTGGAGCACCATCTTGGTGATGGATGTGAAAAAGTAAAGTACCATTCTCCAGCCATTGCTGCCTCCAGCGCACCAGGGGGATGTCCTCTGTATTCCCTGAGATCTCTAGAAAAAAAGCCACCAAATTCACAGAGTGAGATTTTGGAGTGGACCAAGATTTCACAATATTAGTTTCTGGTACCAACAAGCCAGTTCTGTCAGCAGACAACAAAGGGTTCTGACTATGGTTATGTCAGACTTATTGCTGCTTATAAAAGTCAAGAAGGAGAAGATATTTAGAAGAGAGGAGAATTATCCCCCATAGGTCTTTCTATGATAAATCTAGTGAGCCAGACTCTCACCCAGTGAGAAAAATACTGAGGTGAAAATTCAAGTTCTTCCCCTCATCCTGTGATCAATAGCATCACTTACATTGCACAGTTTGAATACCTGATAACCCCCTGAGGTAAATACAAGGTTGTTTGCCTCTTGTAAATCTGGGTGTGTGAGTTCCCCAGCAATTACCCCTAGATGCCTGTGAATCTACCAAGGAGAGAGCTGGTAATTACGGTATAGAGAACTGGCATTTATGGGACAGTCCCGGGAGGTTACTGCAGAGCCACCGAGACTGCCAGCCTGTTTGTGAAACCACACTCACAGGCTGCACAGTCCGCTGAAGACATCCAATAACCTGTCAGGACAGGTAAAGAAATGTTTTGGTTCTTTTTGCTTTTCCTCCTTAGTTTTGCAAAGCAGATGGATGAAGAAAGTGCTGTGAACTGGGCCCTTATCACTGATATCAACACTCATTCCGTCCTGAGGAACTTAGATGAAAGCTGGGCTATCAGCAATATAAAATGCCAAAACAAACAAACAAACAAACAACTTTGCCTTCCGCAGTAGTACAGGCCAAGGTGCTGCTGCCAGAACACCATGGCTACATATTATTTTTTGTCTTATTCCTCAGCAATATCATATCAGAGTTCTGGGTTATCCCATAGTGGAGAAAACTGATTAACCCAGCTTTTCCAGGACTCCATTAAGTCTTTAGACCATGTTTCCTTTAACAGCTATTGCTACCTCAAAGGGGAAAGCAGTGTTCTGCTACACACACTTTAACAAATCATTACTTTATAAGATTTCATTTTCAAAAGGCATGCTTTTTCTCTCAAAATTTATTACCTTTGGCCAAAAAATTATTCAAGAGATATAAAACAAGATTTAATAGCCACATTTAGAATATATTCTCATCAAGTATCACAACCATAAAGAGGAAAGCAATTTTAAATATTTATGGAATTTATAATTATCCCTCACTGTTTATGGAAGAGCACACTGATATTATTTATTGATTTAGCCACTCATTTAATAGACACACACTGGGCATGTGCTTTGCACCAGGCCCCATGCTAGGCACTCATGTACTAAGCACAATGTTTTAAAGCAGCCCACCATGACTGAATATGTATAATGAATCTTTTTAGGACTTCGAGAAGAACTGACCTCAGTAAAGCGTACAAGAAAGTAAGAATGTGGTCTTCTCTGAGGAAAAAGATGCCTCATGATAAACAGGAAAGGTAAAGGGGTGATCAAGCAAGTAATGAGTGAGGATGAGGGGAAGGGATGGGCATATACATTGGTCTTCTTTGTAGGACACTGAGGTTCTTCATGAGACACAAATCACTGTCCTAACACCCTGATAGGATGGCCTCCCCACTCAACATTACACTCATGAGGAAGAAGAGGAAACCTGAGATTGGGAAGGGGATACTGCCAACAAAGTCTCTCTTTCATGCTTAGTGCCTCTTTTCTGTTGCCTGGAAGGCTCTATCATTTGAAAGGTTAGTATATCTTCCGTGATCATGCATGTGATTGGCCTGGAATCCAGGGAGCTTCAGAGGCCAAAGAGACTGAGAAGGGAAGATTTGCATTTCAGACCTGGTTTTCAGAAGGCACGTCCCCATTTGTTCAGTGTAGTGGTGATGCGCTGGCTTCCTGCATCCACTGGTCCTCTAAACCAACAGCTCTCAACCTGTGGGGTCGTGACACCTTTGGAGGTCAATGATTCTTTCACAGGTGTCACATATCAGATAACCTGCATATCAGGTATCTATATTGAGCTTCATAAAAGTAGCAAAATTATAGTTATGGAGTAGCAATGAAAATAATTTTATGATTGGGGGGCACCACAGCATGAGGAACTGTATTAAAAGGCCACAGCATTAGGAAGGTTGAGAACCATTTTTTAAAATAGTGTCCTCCACATTCCCAAGTGAGAAAACACCCTTGAATGCATCTCTGAAGGTAAGCATTTAAAGAAGCAGGAGTCAAACAAATTGAGTGCAGGCCCAATAATCACCAACTCTTCCAGGCACATGGCTGTATATCCTGCAGTCAGGCACTCTTCACGACTTCACATGATTTCAGAGTAGTAAAAGACTCCTAGAAATGTGCCCTCCCCCCAAACCCCTATTCTGCCACTGCATAGCAACCAAATTCTGTGCCTATCTCAGCGAAGATAAAAAATCATCAGCATTCCAGCTTCTGGTAATGTATTTGATGGCATAATCAAGTCCAGCTTCTTTTCAGAACCATCCCCACCCAGACTAAGATTTATTCCATGAGTGTCTGCTTGCTGCTCAGCCCTTTCTGTAACTATTCAGAGAGTTCTAGCACCTGTCCCTTTAAATCACTTCATAAACGAGATTTTGTTTCCCAGCAGATCTCCATCAAGTAGGTCAGACTCATTACCCCTGCATTCACCATGGAAGCAAAAATAAGCAAGTACCTAGACCAAGGTCAACCAGCTTGACACAGAACAGGGACTGATGAGCCATTAGATGCCACATATGCTTTTCACAAGAGCAGACAGCATGACCTCAGAACATGGAGACAGACAGAAGGGAGGTGGGGAAGAGAGGGAGACAGAGAGAGGGGGAGAGCAAGACCTAAAGTAGGAAAGCCATGCGGTCTTTTACAATTTTAATCTAATCTTTTTGTTCTAGGTCTTAGTATCACACGACTTATTTTTGAATTGAGGTACCATTTACTGCCATAAAGTCATCTTTTAATATAGCCGAGATTTTTTTGGTGTGTGCATGTATTCATCATGTTGTATAATCATCACCCACCGTCTAATTCTAGAACATCTTTATCAGCTCATTAAGAAACTTTCTATCTATGAGCGCCTATAATGTTTCCATGAGGAGTAAGGTATTACACTCCATGGTACTAGGCATGAGGGTGCCAAGGACAGAATAGGTGCCTTTAGGACCCCTACAAAGAGTTCCATGGGGCAGTGGTATTAGCATACATACAGTGGCACTGGCTTTCAGGCTAACCCTCTGAACTCTTTTGCAGTTTATGCGTTCCTATCGCTGTGAATAGTGATATCATGATTCTGCACAGACTTGGTTCACCATAGAGGGCTAGAGGTGAAGGAAAGAGGGCACTATGTCTGCCGAGGGCACTCATCAATTCTTAGCTTCAAGGTAATTATGCAATGATAGCTTCAGCCTTGGCAGTTTTCCCTCTCCTGATAGGATCTGACATGAAAGAGCTCAAATTGCTAAACTGGGAACTTATTTATATTTATGCTATATCTGGCCTGATCAGCTAATGAAACGTACACAGGACATAGTAAATGCCCTGCTCACTTAGTCACCAACATGATTGAGATCTGATCTTGGAACATAGTGTAATATCATTGGTATGAATGTTACTATCTTAAGAAGGAAAGTAATGCAAGCCAGTCATGAGACTCCAAGGAGCAAATTGGGGTGGTGACAAAATTGTTACTCTAATCCAGAGCCAAAGAGGATTGCCATTGAGGCTCACAGAGGGCATTTGCTGCAATGTACTGAATAAAACAAATTCCAATAGGACCCCCTATGGTAATTTCCAGATGTCACAGGTGCCGCAATTGCTACAAGCACTGATCCTTTCAGCACTTAAGTGGGGCTGAGGTCTCCAGGAAGGGAAGGATTTCCTGGCTCTAACCATGTTTCTCTTTGCCCCTTTCTCTTGCGTCTTCAGTACCTTCCCAAATCCTGCAATACAAAGAAAGCAAAGTGCCTTTCCTCCTTATATACAATAAACATTCCTGGAGCACAGAGTTGGAAATTAAACTATGTACTCCCACTCCCACGATGCTTTTCATCCAGCAGGAAGCTTCAGGTGTGTCCTGGGTGAAGTGACAGCAATGCTGAGCATTGGGTGAGACTTGGGTGGGTCAACACTGATGGAAAGTAATAAAAAGGGGTGGGGGTGGGAGGGATGCTGGAGACACAATCCCAGCTGAGGAGCACAGCATGTGCAAAGGGACAGAGGATGAAACACATCGTCAGAATCACAGGAGGTCTGGTTAAGCTGCAGGGGTTGGGGGGATATAGAAGAATCATGGGGGACCTAACTCCCGGAATCCAGATTAATGGCACATGTAAGAGTCTTGAATGCCATCTTAAGAAGTTCACAGCTAGGGGGAAATCATTCACTATTCTATTCCCAGAAGCGTGAACCAAGTTAATGATTAGCAAGGCTCAGAATAAAAAAATGGCTGAAAACATCAGAACTAGGTGTCACTGTGGCTCTGACTCTGCATTCTTCAGGGACTCAGGAAGCCTAGGTATGGTTTGAGGAACTTTGAACAGGCTCCCTCGATTTGAGCTTCCTCCGTGAGGATGCAACTGTGTAGATAATCTTCAAGATTCCTTTGTAGCTTTGATTAGCCCATGGTTCTGTCTCCAGAGAGCATGTTAAGTTCAGTGTCACAGATAATGTCAAACCTCTTCTCAGATCTAACCTTTGCTCCACCCTGGGTCAAGAGGATATGGACAGAGACTTCAAATACAGTCCCAACATCACACTGTATCCCAATCTGTAAAGGAAGACCTTCATCATGCTGCTGCAAATATCTGGTTTCTAAGAGAGAACCGTGGAGTTCCATGTACTGTACTGGTAGAACACGGAGCAGGAAAAGTCATAGGAGAGAAATCTTGGGTTGGAAAAGGCAGAGTGAGATGATATCACTTTTAATTAGCCTTAGTCATTGTTCTAATGATAGCCTGTGGGCTGGGAGTTTGTAGTCTCTTTGTGGGGTTATTTCAGGACACTCAAAACTTTGCTGC